GACCGCCTCACTAGGCACAGGAAAGTGGCCGTTTAGGGCAGGATAGCTGCCAGCCTGGCCACCAAAGGCCACATGCGAACCCAGGAGCAGGTTTGCATAAAAATCAAGTTGGTCCAGTGAGACCCCCGACCCTGAGCCCTGAGCTTAGAACATAAGAACATAAGAAAGGCCGTCCTGGGTCAGACCAAAGGTCCATCTAGCCCAGTAGCCTGTCTGCCGACAGCGGCCAACACCAGCTACCCTGGAGGGGATGGATCGAAGACAATGACCAAGCCATTTGTCTCGTGCCATCCATTTCCAGCCTTCCACAAACAGAGGCCAGGGACACCATTCCTACCCCCTGGCTAATACCACTCCATGGACCCAACCTCCATGACTTTATCTCACTTCTCTTTAAACTCTGTTCTAGTTCTAGCCTTCACAGCCTCCTGCAGCAAGGAGTTCCACAGGTTGACTATTTGCTTTGTGAAGAAGAACTGGCAGCTGGGCATGGGGCAGGTGGGTTAGTGGGTAACCCTGGGGTAAGCAGCTGGGTTTCTGCTGAAGCTAGGGATAGATGCTGGATGTGAGCTGGGGACCTGGGGGAGGGGGTGCCAAGGGTGTCTGGAGTGGGTGTTTTAGGGGGCCAGTACTGGGCCCCCCTCACCTTCTGCTCCCACCATTGGCCACCCTGGCCCTACGGGATCCAGCCCAGGGTCCCCAAGAGAGGAGTCAGAGAGCCCCTGACTTCTGCTGGGAGACCAGGCCCCACAGCGCCCCTGGTGGCCCGGAAGAGCAGCAGCAGGCTCCTCCCTGCAGCCCCACTAGCCGGGCAAGGGGCAGACCTAGGGTTGCCAGATGGTTTAACCAAAAATACTGAACACCCCCCGCCCCCCACAAAAAATATAACAACAACAAAACACCGGGGAAAAAATTCTGTTGAGGAAAAAAAAGGGGGAGACCAAAGTTGTTGAGAAAAAAAAAGGACCCCGAGAGTTACTAAGCAAAAAAATGTTTTAAAAAACCAGCATGGCCCCTTTAAGAAATGCTTTTAAGGCTTTTTGGCCCTAGCCGGCGGCCATCTGCCATCTTGTCTCCCTGCTCCGGGCCAGACAGCTCCCCTGTGGAACCCGGAAAGCACCCGGGATTTTCGCCTCCTGGCCGGGAACAAATCAGAAAGTCCCGGACATTTCAGCTGTCCGGTATTTTCTGAATGTTTTTACTGGACAGGAGGCGAAAATCCCGGACTGTCCCGGTCAATACCGGACACCTGGCAGGGCCCCACAGCGGGAGAGCAATGCAGGAACGAGCCTCGCCCCAGGCAGCAGACGGGGGATCCCCCCCGACAGTCCTGCCGCATCGCATGGCACAGGGTGAATTGCCACTGGGCAGATGAGACGAGCTCCAACGGATTCATTGCACCCAGCAGCTGGAGCTGAGCCATAGTGCTCACTGGGCGCCTTTTCTCCTGTCACTTTAAGGGTGCCCCAGCCAAAGCCTCCCTCGCTGCTGCCTGGCCCCCAGGAGCAGGACCGCGCCCAAAGGGTGTGGCCCAGGGGGACTACAGGCCCCAGCATGCAACGCTCCACAGAGCGCCCAAGTGCCCCCTGGGAGTTGTAGTCCCACAGGCGGGGAGCTGCGGGGAGGAGCCCTGTTACCTGCTTGGAGAAGTTGAGGGTTTGCTGGGCGGCAGTCTTAGCCACGATGGTGTGGCTGTTGCCGGGGCTGGGATGAAGGGAGAGAGACAGGCTGGACACCACCTGGGCTTTCAGATCCGTGATGCTGACCTTCTCGTCCGCCACCGTCACCGCCGTCTGCCCCAGCACGGCCTCCGTCAGCGGGGACACCACCTGCGAGAGCCCAGCCATGAGGGCCCAGCCAGCCACCCCCCCGGCCTGGCTCTCCCCATGTCAGCGAGGGCCCACACCAGTGCTGCGAGCGCCCTCCCAGCAGTGCCCTGCAGATCCCAGAGAGCTGGGGAGCTGCTGCTGTCCACAGGCCTGGCAGCCGCCTGGCCTGCGCCCACGGCCTCCGTCAGCGGGGACACCACCTGCGAGAGCCCAGCCATGAGGGCCCAGCCAGCCACCCCCCCGGCCTGGCTCTCCCCATGTCAGCGAGGGCCCACACCAGTGCTGCGAGCGCCCTCCCAGCAGTGCCCTGCAGATCCCAGAGAGCTGGGGAGCTGCTGCTGTCCACAGGCCTGGCAGCCGCCTGGCCTGCGCC